CTTCATCTCCTTCCTCTTTTACAGTCCTAACTTTACTGTACCCGCCAGAGGCCTGCGTGGCTGACTCGTATTCAAGAGCGGCGGATAAGACATCAACCAGCGTCTTGTGACGAGCTAATCGTAGTGTTCTTTGCATCTCATGATCACGAAGACCATCAATAAACGTTTGAACGGCCAACTTTTCCATCATGTCTTCGGGAGCTGTTGGATAAGCATATCGCACTAATCTGGCGATATCTACTTCATATTCTTGAAGAGCCTCATCTTTCTTTTGTCTTCGATTTTTGAGCTGCGACTGATATACATGCTCCAAGTGTTCGTGGCCATATCGCATATTTAACCTCTTCTTCAGTTGTTCGAAATCATCCGTCTCCTCTACGGCTATGGTCTGGAGCACATCTAAGGCATCTCCTCGAAGAGCGATAGTCAGGTTTACAGCCTTTTCTTTTTCACACCATCCATTCGCTCTTGCAGCTGATTCGAACTGTTTCATGTAGTTGTTCCATGATGATTTTCCGTCGAAAGTTGGGACTTTGACATGAACGGAACTTCCACTTCCTTCACATTTCGGCCGTGTTTCCAACTTACATTTCGTCTCGTCTTCTTTTGTCTCTATGGTAATTGGATTGTTTACTCTCTCTGTTGTTCCTGTTCCCTCAATCTTCCTTTCCAACTCTTTCCATATCTTCTCTTCGAAGGCCATCATATCGGCAGCAACTTGGTTTTTTAATGAAGACACTCTATCGTCGAGAGCAGACATCTCCGAAGTGACTTTAGAGATTTCCAAGGAGATGTTAGCAGAGACTTTGCTTTCTAGAGAAGAAATCTCGTTAGACACTTTGTCTTCTAAAGAGGCGATGTCGCCAGAAACTTTATTCTCTAATTTTGAAATTGACGCGATGACAGCATCTTCAAATATATAAGTTTCCGGATCTAAACCCTCTTCCTCCAAAGCATTCTTTAGTCGTTGGACTAACTCAGCCTTTTTTCCGGTAGAAGCTAATTCTCTATCCTCAAGATGCCTTCTTAGATTCGTAACTGTGAGCTCGTAAATCGTAGCCATCGTTCACCAATTTCACTTCTTTTCAAAAATTCAAATTAAATTTATCTACAACCCCACTTCTGCACCACTGTATAATATTAATTTATTTGTCTTTATTCTAATTTATTGTCTATATTCTAATTTATTAAAACTCACGATAACTAATTAAAGTCTTTATTAATCCTAATTACAAATAATTTATTAACGTTTCGTTACATTTAAATATCGCGGTTCGCGAGCTTCTTATAACTAACTCCTCAATGAAATTCTTCCGGTATTTATATGAAACCAGCTTGTAACAGAATGTTTGTAGAAAATACGATGCCGTTCTCGATCTCGACGTAGACACGGCGGCGACTGGTCTCAAAACATGTTCTCTATCGGCTTGTCGCCCCCAGAACATTCGATTGTTGTTTGTCAGGTAGAATTTTTGACCTAGAAATTACGAGAATCAATATAAAAGAATTAGTCATGAAATATTTACAGTTCTATACGCCATAACATTTAAAATCGTAACACCATACTAAGGCTTTCTGCATAAGAAGGTCTTCTCGGTCTCAAAGGAATTCGAGTGGCTTTTCTTTGAACGTTTTCCATCAAAGTCTTGTCTCGAACCATATCAGGATACCACGTTGGTCCAGCGTATTCAAGTATGGGTCTTACGTAAAGAGTGTAAAGTTTACAGAATGATTGCATTGAAAACTCTCGAAAAACACCTCCGAATAAGATACAGTCTGGAGTTTGTACGTTTACAAATAGAGGTAATATGGTCGGACCAAGTTAGGCTGTTGTTTACGATAACACCAAGGTCGTTATACAAAAACACAGCATCTAATGACTGCCCGTTAACAAAGTACGGACAAGTGAGTTATTTTTACCAATTCGAAGCACTACACATTTTTCCGCATTTAAGAGTAGTAACCGCTGAGAACACCAAATTAAAATAGAGTCCAAGTCCATTTGGAGGGTTAGCTGGTTTATGATTGAATATTGAAAATATCTTCTCCAATACAACAAAAATAATACTGAAATGTAACAAAAAAAAAACAAATTAGTTTATTTTATTAATTAACATTCTGGAGACTGTCTCCAGGCAATAAAAAATTAATATATAAGTATTGGAAAGAGCTAAAGTTAAGATGCTTATTATCAAAAGAAAAACAACATATTTCTTTATTATCTCAGAATAGAATACCTAATATTAACCCTTAATTAAAATGCTTATTAGATTTCTAAATAAAATAGAGATATACTAAAATGATTTAATCTTATTTCTTCCTGGCATAATAATTTTTAGGTACTTATAAAACGTTTGACTACGCCTTATGTAGTCAAACATAACTAAGTTTTAAAATGCACCCTAATGAATTAAATAAAATAAAACACTCAGCATTTACCCATATTAATTATTGTCTATATTAAAAACACACTTAGCCGCTTGTGAGGTAGAACGGCAAGACATTTTTCCGGCTACACCCAAAAATAAAAGCGTAGGCCGCTGGAAAAATCTATTCAGCAATAAAACATATTAGTGGACATGTTTGCTTTCAACGTCCAGCAAGAAAAGACAAAAAATAGTCTAACCACGTGCCGGCACTGCTTAGTCTTTTTGAGATTATAAATACAATATATTACCAATTGCATGCCTTTATCCAGGTGCCATAGGACTCATAATATGGATGCCGGTGTCTCCTGCGAAACCTTTTTTAAGAATTTCTTTTTTAAGAAACATCTATAGTAAAAATTGATTTAGATAAAGACGATAAAATGATTTAAGATAAAGATAAGAAAGGTGATAAAATGTTTTAATAAAGATGCGAAAAGTAATGAAATAATTTTAAAACATAAGAAAGATAAAATGATTTAAAATAAAAATTAGAAATATTTATGTAAAATGGCGCTACTTAAATTTTCACAATACACGACAAAACGACCGGCTGTTTTCACCTCCACAAACAGGAGTGAAAGAAATTTTAGGAAGTAGCCAAACGAGGTTGGTGACTCGTTGTATTTCGAAAGTAAGGGATGCGCTTTACCAATTATAGTGACCCAACTGGCGGCAATTGAAGAAAACTTGCCAGGAATTTTCAATTTACGTATTGTGGTCCGTATAGTTTTTACGAACCTGTTAAAGGTAAATTAATTGATATCTTTGATTTTATCGATTTAGTATCGATTTTCACTTTGAACATGACAGTATCACCCAGTTACAAGGTAGAAACTGGAGAAATGTAATTAGGGAAGATGATAAGGGACATGATGAAAGAATAATGATGATGATAATGGTGACTTCGTATCGGTATTGGTTGTCTCTATTTCCCGAGTACTCCTATTCGATATTTGTTAATTTTGAGGTTTTGAGAGAAGATAAGCTCTGATACCCTTGCTCTCTCTTCCCATTCGAATCTTACTCACCTAGAACAATGATTAGTAAGTTGTTTTGTTATTGTCTTCAACTATGAGTATAAGCCTTATCTTCAGCTAGGGTAATATACTAAGGTAATTTCCATTTGCCTTTTTCGCCGCTGCACTATCTACAGTGTAAGACATAAGCATTGAAGTTCGTTGAGCTCTTGCTTATGTTCCCTTTTGATCGACTGCTGCCACGACTTAGATTTCTAGCCATAGCCTAACTTAATTTAGCCTGCAGGTCGATGCAGTTATCAGCATGAGCAACATGGAGTCACAAGTGAAAGTTTACTGCCTTATGAGGTCAAGTATCTAGATGCGACCATCTTAAATAAAAAATTCTACCTTTACAAAGCCTATACACTCCAAAGTACACCCTATATTATTAAGTAGCCATCTGCAAACAACAATGTCTTCGATTTCTATTCCCATTCTTGAACACTTTTCTATCAATACCTCTAGAGCTTTTCGGATGTAAATTTTAAACAGGATATGAGAAAGACGACATCCTGCTTTATACCTTCCTTTTATACAGCTGGTTTGGGCCATTTCTTTGAACTACCCAAGTATCGAACTCGGGTCTTCTTCGTTAAAAAATCAGATACTGTACCGTTTTGGTAGAGTATCTTTCAAAAATATTTCTTACTTCATATTTTGAGCTATTCGGTCCCTTTTTATATGTAAGTCCAAACTAGACTTCTGTAGCATTTCTCATCAAACAACTATTTAATCGGTCCATTGTTGTAAACTTTCTTTATATTTACATAAAGATCAGTTTTTAAATTTCTTTCTGCTCTGAAGCTCCAATGTATTATCCAGGATCTTTTTCAAAAATGCTTTTCAGTCTTTATTTCCTGTTCTTACTATTAACATACTATTTATTACTTATGTATTTACTATTAACCATTATTCGGCATTATGTTTATTTTAACGTTTTAATTTCTAGTTCGGAAATTATTCTCAAAATACAAACAAAAAACGGTTTCCGAAGTCGAAATCGAAATGTCAAAATAAACGTATTTTAAATTAAAATTGTGGTTAATCCCCAATCATCATCATCATCTTTGGCTCAACAATCCTCTGTGGATTGTTGAGAAGTCGGTCTCAACTCCATCTAATCACCTAATTCACGGTCGGCATCTGCTTCTTCTTCCTTCAGGTGTTCCTGTCATTGGCTTTTTAGCAATCATGTTTTCAGTCATTAGTATTATGTGTCTGGCCCATCTAAGTCGCTGTGTTTTAATGAATGTTACGACATTTGGTTCATTAAAGAGTTGGTATAATTCGAAATTAAATCTTTTGTGCCACTGCCTTGATTGTTTATAGCCCCAAATATTTTGCCAATGGCAAATGGCACTTTTGGTTAATTCCCAATAAAAATAGTAAATTACATACGGAAACTGTTCGTATTATGTATTAAACGGAGAAAATATTGTTTTCGTCATTGGTGATATTATACTTTTTCTTTCTTCTTCGTACATGAAAGTAATATAAAGAATTTACGTTATTTATAATTTTTGATTTTTATAACAGTTAACACATTTTTTAGAATCTTCTGCCTCTTCAGCTGCGTCTTCAGGGTCAGGCACAAGCAGCAGCTCAGACAGCGAAAGCAGTGCCGAATCCTCAACAAATACAAGAAAAGTAGTGAAAAAACCAGTCAAAAAGCCTTCAGTCGTCCATAAGGATGCTCCCAACAGCGAGTCAGAAAATGAAAATCCCGTAAAGAGTAAAGTGACGAGGAAACTGACCAGATCGGCGAGTACAAGAAAATCTAAACACGTCCTGGGCAAAAACGTTTATTCTGATACTGATTCCGATACTGAGAGCACTAAAAGGTCATTGTCTAGATCTCCAGTTAAGAAGGCACCAGCAGTTAGTAAGGGTAAAACTAAGAAACGGAGAGAAAGTAAACACAAGAATAGTGATTCTCCTGTTGAAGAGGAAAGATGTTGTCCTCTGGAAGGTTGTGATAGTAATGGTCATTTGAGTGGCAAATTTGAGAAGCACTTTACGTTGGAAGGTTGTCCTAAATATCACAATATATCACAGGATAAATGCAAACAGGTAATTATAATAATAAATATCTCTAAGATAGATCCTGAGAAGAATCCTTGGGAAGTGCCTCTTTATGTTGTTGTGATTTCTTCTTAACAGCGTTTAACCACACATATGTTTTAGATTTCTTGGCATCGTTTTTGCTATAAATTCGTTCAACCAATATCTTTTTGCTGAACTACGTTTGGCTCATATATTTGTAACCTACAATGCTTTAGCCAACTCAGAGGTTGTCAGAGGTATATTCGAACTTCACCAAAAGATACATCAAAGTAAAACAAATTAAATAATTTAAAATATTTAATAGTCTATTAGTTCCTTCACCTGTTCTTTTACCTTTTATAAAACGTTATATTACCTTTTGTATACCATAAAATTCATGCCTATTTGTTTTGAAAAACGATCCCAGTTATCATTTTTGATTCTTCTTAAAAGAAGATATGTTTAGTTTCTTCTGTTTTGTAATTATTGTCGTACCCTTCGTACGTCTTATTTGATATTATATTCCAGGTAAACCTTTTCTTTAAATTTTTCCTTCACTTCTGTGTAGACCCGTAGAGTGTTTAGTTTCTAGAGGGTTTAGACCTAATTGTTTTAATTAGAAACAATTTATCTTTATCTTTCTTTCTCTAAGAACTTCCTTAGCTGAGTCAAATATATCTGATTTAATTTTTTCCAGCTCTCTTCAAGTCCATCGCTTTCGCATGCATTTGTTTCTTTCTGTTGTCCTACATATAAAGTCACAAATATAAAATCCATTAAATAAATTACTACGTTAATAATAAAATTCCATACTAAACAATGAATCCAATCAGACATTATCTGCCAAAGAACTTAGAGTAACTCAAAAATAAATAAAAATGTTAATTTAGACAAAGTAACAAAACAATATTTAAACATGTATAAAATGCTATCAAATAAAACTAAAAAATAAAAGAACTGTAAATTGAAATCATGTTACCCCGATAACGAGAAGTTACGTTTATTATCAGAAGTTGTGGATAAAAATGAATCCATAGGTAAGAAGGTTAGGTAGAATGCGATCCTACTCTTCATAAAATATGTCACGTATTTCAGCGCCACCTCTCGGCCTGGAAGTATACCATAATATGGCCTTCACATAATTGGTCTGTGGCTTCCACATGATAGGTGCAAAATTTTAAACGTTCTTGTTGTTGATTGGATAGTAGCTCCTACATGATAGGTGTGAAATTTTAAACCTTCTTGATGTTGATTGGATAGTATGCTCAAGGTGAGTGAGCGGTAAATTTGAAAGACTTACCGTACAGCTTGTCACATACGGGGAGCTATGCTATATTATATCCATCGAGCAAAAAGATAAAAGAGGGAATCTAATCGTTATGAAAAGGAGACCAAAAAAGTGGCCTCTGATGGCGGACATATCCGGAAATGCAAAGGCGCTAAATTTAAATTTTCCAACACTTATTAACAATAGCTATAAAATATTTTTCAGACGAGAAAGTTTTAATTAAATATTAACTATAATAGTCTAAAAAGTGACACAATTGGTAAAAGATTTCAATATAAATAAAATTTCATGTGACAGTTGGGACAAACAATAACATAACCTAACTAAATTTGACTTCTTAAACAAGGAAAGAGACTGTCTATCCTTGTCTAAAGTGGCCTCTCAAGATGGCACTTCCTGTCTATCAATATGTTTACCCCCACTACCTTTACATTCCCTCTTTTGTCTTATTGCTCGATGATTATATCATACCCGCTCTCTATAATAATAAATGAGTCTGCATAGACGGAACTAATGGTTCCGTGTATGCAGGCTCACCAATAAAGAACGGATGATATAATATATAGTATAGTATAGCTCCCCTGCGTGACAAGCTGTACGGTAAGTCTTTCAAATTTACCGCTCACTCACCTTGAGCATACTACCCAATCAACATCAAGAACGTGTATTCCAATAGATATTTTCATCGAGTGAACAATCAAGATAAAACACAACAAAATTTTCTTTCTTAATTATTTATTTATATAATGTTACATTTTACAGAGTATACTGTTTAAATTTAGTTTGTAAATTTTGAATTATAAAATGAAGATTTACGTCAATAATTATTATGTTGTTAAAATTTATTTATTTTACCGGCACCACCCAATTATATGTATATATATATATATATATATATATATATATATATATATATATATATACAAATATTGATACATTAAACATTAAAATATTTATTTCTTCGTAAACTCTAGGCGTTCTCCTTTGTTGATTCATTAAGATGGAAGACGTGGGATCAGAAGTCATACCAAATATAAAAAGATTCGAAACAGACAGAGCTTTAAAAGAGCTGAAAAATAATAAAATTCCAGAACCCAACGGTATAGTTGCCGAGCTCTTGAAAACAAGTAAGCCACTAACCATCCCTATAATAACAGGTATTTAATAGACGGTTCCATAATAGCAAGATCCCTAAAGACTTGAAAGATAGTCTAGTAACAATATTTCACAAAAAAGGGGATAAATGTGATCTAAAGAATTATAGACATATAAATTCTTGCTCAGTCTCAGTTGAAAGGTTTTTGAAACATTCATGTGTGACAGGCTTCTCAGTTTTTTCTATAGTGAGGGACTGTTATGCCAAGCACAACATGAGTACCTTAAGGGAAAGTCTATAGAGACTGTCATTTATGATTTTATAACAAAGATAAATGAGGGTTATGAAAACAAAGATATATCCATGGGCATATTTTTAGATTTATCAAAGACATTTGATACTTTAAATCACAAAATACTAATAGAAAAGCTTTACAGGTATGGTATTAGAGGGCCAGGTTATAATTGGATAAAATCATACCTATCAAACAGAAAACAGAAAGTAAAATTTGAGTACGAGGAAAGAAATTGCTTCTCTGGTGAAGGTCTCATTTTGGTGGGAAATCCTCAGGGAAGTATTATGGGTTCTCTTCTCTTTGTTTTTTTTATGTAAATGATTTAGCTTTAGACATTACAGATAACAATCAGAATACTCTTATTGCGAAATTTGCAGATGATACTAACATTTTAACTATAGGGTCATCCTAGAATAATTTATTGAATATCGCTAATAGCATATTAGATAAAGCACAGAGATGGCTCAATATGAATAAACTATACTGAACAGAGAAAAAATAAAGAATGGTACCTTACCAGAAACTGTCTCAATTCAATCGCAAATGGTTACTTTAAACCAAAGCACAAAATTTGTGGGGATACATATTGACCAAAAATTTAGATTTTGGAGTGCATATGAATGAGATCTGTAACAGGTTAGCATCTATCTGCTAGTTATTCGGAATAACAGCAAATTGTTTGGACAACAAATGTAAACAGTTTGTATATTTTTCAAATTTTCATTCTGTAATGCGATTTGGAATAGTTTTCTGGGGGAAGTGGTAACGCTGAACAGGTTTTTATATTACAAAAAAAGCAATCAGAACTCTACTTAACTTGAAATACAAGGATTCATGTAGAGGTTATTTCAAAAAGCTAAACATACTAACAATATCTTTAACATACATATATGAATGCTCACTTTTAATTTTTTTAAATAGACAAATTCTTGAAACACATAACAAACCATAATACTAATACATAAAACAATCTCATAAACTGTAATATACCAATACATAGACTAACAGCATCTGAGAAAACCACAGAATATGCCTGTATTAAATTCTTTAATAAACTGCCTTAGAGCATCAAAATAAAAACTGAAATAAATAAATATAGAAAGTTTGTTCAACAGTTGCTCATACACCTCGAACCATACAAAGTGGAAGAATACCTTCAATCTGACCTGCGGGGAGACTGAGGGCTCTTATCTGAATCTAACTGTCACTGTTATTATTATTATATTTTAATATTACTTTTATGTTAAGTGTAGGTTGTTACAGCAACCATTATAAATTGTAATTGACACCATTCTCTCTATTGACAATTTATATTTGTGTGGAACTTGTGAATCCTAAGAATTAAACTTTTTTCTATTCTATTCTATTCTATTCAGGCTAAGAGCAATGAGAACATTGATAGAAAAGGCAAATAAATACCAACTACCTGTATTTCTTGCCTTCTTAGACTATGAACAGGTGTTTGATAGTATGTAGATGTGAGCCATAGAACAAGCTATTAATAATTATTGTAATATAGATTCGAGATATAGGAAATTGAAAGTTGTTACTTGTGTAAACCTTTTAAGGATCTTTATCCAACAGGTTTTTATCACCCACTAAATGTACCCATTGATTAAAAAGATCCGCGTACTTTTGTGGATCCGGAAATCTATGTTTACTTGTTGCACTTTTCCAACATGTCTGCACACAACAGTTAATGGGAGGCATTTTACCTAAAAATAAAAATCTTAAATCAAATTAAATAAATGTGTATTTTAAACACGTTAGATAAACACTCTCCTTCCATGGATAAATCAATCAATCTACAATATAATCAAAAAATCTTACCACTTAATCAGGTGTATAAAAATATGGAAAAATAGGATTGAATATAAACTATTCTTATGGTCACACAAACCAAACAAAAACACCACTTAATTGGGTATAAAAAATATCGTAAAATACGATTGAAAATAATATTGTCAACAGTCGCAAAAACCAAAATAATCACAAACAAATACCACGTAAACAGCTACACGCTACAAAGCTTTATTTTGAATTGGTTTTTTGGACGCGTGGTAGGTCACAGTGCAGGACTTGTCAAATGTCATGTTCTATGATGCATAAATTAACGTTTTGCACGGCCTCATACGGCCTGGAAGTCAAATAAATAGAATTACATTTTTTTTACAAGAGTTCGCCGGGCATGAATGAATCTTTACGTTACGTATCCTAAAGCCAAATTCTTAATGTCAAAATTGGAAACGGAGTGGGAGTGGGAAAGGTCCCATCAGGACATAATGAATAATTTATGGTGGTCAAATAAAGACAACACAAGACCTTTCATCACAAAATAGTGCCAGCCA